AAAAAATGAGTATATTTTAGTTAGTCCTGTCATTTAAGTTATATAAAATATAATCATTTTGATGCTTTTTTATTCTTATGTGGAATATATATGTTTTTGTATCAGAAACACTTGTATATCTCAAGAAAAAGAAATTACACTAAATAGCCCTGTTTTAAGAAAAATATTTAGGAAGTATTTCAACTTGAAGACCAAGTCAGGGTTATAACTCAGGAACTGAGACTAAGAATTTTAATCAGATTGGTCAGATGGTTCCTACTAAATCACATCTGCAGTACTAGCCAAAGACTACTAGTATGAAGGAGAATATCAGTTGTCTGGAAGTAGCTACTTCATAAACAGTGTAAAATGTTGCAGACATTAAATAAAAGATAATATGTAATAATTTGTGAAACATTTAAATATATAAGGTAAAAGCAATTACATATCAAACTCTATGTTTTCTTTATATAGTGTGTGTTTATTTTGTGGTATAAATAACTGTACAACGTGTGAATACTGTGCACTTAAAATAACCAGATGGTGGAGGGCTTTTCCCATAATGGGACAGCTTTCGACTTCTTTTAAAAAAATCTCTACATTTCATAACAATTGGAATTATGTGCCTTTGGAGGCACCTTTTAAAGTATTCTTTGTAATGTATGTTTCTGAATGCATTTGTTGCTTATTTGGTCATGTTCTTCACATTGGCACTTAATTTGAAGTTTTACTTTTTTTAAAGGTGAAAAAATAGAAATGGTTCTTTGTACTCACTCTGCAATGATCTGTTTTCGGTCTTATGCTTTTTAATACTACTCTCTTTTTCTGAATTTTGAAATATGAAGTAAAATCTAGCTCATTGTTTTATGCAGTCATCTAACAAACTTTGTGTCTATATTCTTGCTATGTGCAGAGCACTTTATTAGCCTTTACTGGTTAAAAGATGAATGAAAGAGTTCTGTCCCTCTTGGAGCTGAATGTGTGAAGCAGATCATTAACAAAGTAAAAGTAATTGCTATAATAGAAATATGGATCTAGACTAGGTGGTTGGAAAACAACCCTGGAAGATAACTATACCAATAATGAGAAGGCAACCTGAGAACCTGTTAGATGGTGGGCACTAAACTTGTCTAGGCAAGAGCTGAAAATCTAAAAAGTAATATGTAAAAAGACCGAATTTTCCCTTTTAAGGCAATTTACTTTAGAGACTTCTATGTTGTGTATCTTGCCTTATAATTTAATTATCATAAAAGTAGTAGCCTGACATGGTGTCTCAGTTGCCTAAATTTATAACAGCTTGGATTCAGATACTGTTTTATAAGCAAGTAACAGAGCTTTTCTTTTTTTAATAGCAAGCATAACTTTAAGAACTTGACTCATTTTAAAAGAAAATATCTTGAAATAAACCAGAAACCTCCAAATCATCCTAGGTTTTAATTTCTCTTTGTGATTAAAAAATGTTCCATATATATAATATATATACAATTCAAATATCAGAAAAAATATTGAAAAATTATCAGTGTTAAGTTTTACCTCTCACCTGTATGCATATACCTTCTTCTTCCCACTCTCCATACCCAACAAGTAATCATTTTTATTAGTTTCTTGTGTATCTTCCCATGGTTTAGGTGCAGTAGCAGCAAATACATATGTATTTTTTTCCCCTCCATTTTTTTTTAATCCTCACTCGAGGATATGTTTTTATTGATTTGAGAGAGAGACATCAGTGCGAGACAGAAACATCAATCGGTTGCCTTCTGTACCACCCTGATCAGGGATCGAAACCACAACCTAAGTATGTGCCCTGACTGGGAATAGAACCTGCAATCATTTTGGTGTATGGGACGATGCTCCAACCAACTGAGCCCTGCCGGAGCTCCCTTCATTGTTTTTATACAAATGTATAGCATGCTATTTATACTGAAGAACACAATTTCAATTACACCTCAATTATTTTGAATTAAGTGGTTTATATTTAGAATCTTACAGATTTCATTGCTTCTCACTTTTACTCAATGATTGATAAAAAGCATCTTATTGCAGAAAGGCAAGAAAATCCACTATTGAAATCATGACCGTATGATTCAGTAGGAGGACTATTTTCTGTTAAAATTTTTATTACTAAAACACTTGCAAGATTGTTATTTGAGCTGTATTTAAAATCTTTTTTTCTACCAGACACTAAGCCTAAATTTATCTTTTACCACTTAATTGACACATTTTTTTTTTTCTTACGCCAGATTATTAGTAATTTTAAATCTTTACATTCTGTGTTTTGGATTTAGCTTAGAATGATACACAATTTAATACTTAACACCTTCTGGGAAATATTTTCTGCACTTGCACTGATAAAACCATATTTTCATGCTTTTTACAAATGAAGAAACAAGTCTAATTCAAGTGCTTTATTATGAACCTCTGAATATGATAAAGGTTTTCTTCTCTTTCTTCTGGTAAAATAAGGTGCTTGAAAGCCTCCAAGATAGCCCACAATATTCCCCTACCTCCTGGTAGGCACACCGTTGTGTTGTCCCCTCCCACACGGTACCACTGTGGTCTTCATGACCAGTAGAATGGCAGGAGGAATGGGATGTCATTTCCAAGGTTATGTTATAAAAGACTCTGGTTTCCGTCTTTGCTGCATTTCTCCCCACTCTCTTCCTTTTGTCCTTTCCTCCCCCACCTCCTTCCTCCGTCTCTCTGTCTCTGGCTTTCTCCTCTCTCTATTGGATCACTCTCTCTCGGGGAAGCCATTTGCCAGGTGTGGGCAGCCCCATGGAGAGGCCCGGTTGGTGAGGACCTGAAGCCTGACAACAGCCACATGAGTGTAAATGGATCCGCCAGCCCCAGTCAAGCCTTCAAATTGCAGCCCCAGCCAAAAGTTTGCAACCTCATGGGAACCACTCCACTAAGCCACTCATATTTCTGAATTTCAGAAACTGTGTAAGATAATAAACATTTGTTGTTTTAAACTGCTAAGTTTTCTAGTGATTTATTATATGGAGCAACAAATATGAGATAATACAAGATGCCTATATCTTTGAGCAGCTGTAAAAATTAAAATCCTCTTCAGATTTCTTTAGGTTAATGAAAACAGGTAGCTACTAATGTAGGTCTTTTGTAAAAGCAAAGTGTGTAGAGAGAGCTTTCAAAAAGTGGGGGATATCAGTATTTCTTTACTGGATTATTTTCAAGCAAATCTCAGATATCAATATTTCATGCCACATACTTTGGTATGTAGCTCTAAAATGTGGACAGTGAAAAGTAATTTTAATTGAGTCAGTTACTATAAAATCTATGAAAATATTGACTTAATACTGTGATCAATAGGCCATAACAACTTTTGTACTACAACTGATACTATCAAGAAAGTGAAAAGACAACCTGCAAAAATGAAAGAAAATATTTGCAAATAAAGTACCTGTTAAGGGACATGGTCAGATTTTATAAAAAAATTTTACAATTCAACAAAAACCTACAAATAACCCAATGTAAAAATGGGCAAATAATTTTAATAGACATCTCTCCAAAGAAAATATATGAATAGTCAATAAACACTTGAAAATATGCTCAACATTATTAGTCACTTGGGTAATGAAAATCAAGAGCAGGAGATACTCATATCAACTTGGATGGCTGTAATCAAAGAAAACACAACAGGTAAGTGTTGATGAGGATTTGGAGAAACTGGAACTCATACACTGTCACGGGAATGTAAAATGGTACAGCTGCTTTGCAAAACTATCTGGCAGTTCCTCAAAAAGTGAAACAAAGCTACCATATGAACCAGCAGTTCCAGTCCTATGTATATATACCCAAGATAAATATGTCCACACGCTTCCACACAGAACTTGTACACGAATGTTCACAGGGAGCATTATTCACTGGTAGCCAAAAAGTGGAAACACCACAAATGTCCATCAAGTGATGAGTGGACAAATACAATTTTATATGAAAACAATGGAATTCTATTTGGCCATAAAAAAAGAATAAAGTACTGATGCACACTACACAATATGGGTGAACCTTGAAAATATGCTAAGTGAAAGAAGCCAGTCACAAAAGACTACATATTGTATGATTCCATTTATATGAAATGTCCAGAAGAGGCAAATCCGTAGAGACAGACAATAGATTAACAGTTGCACAGGGCTGGGAGGAAATGTGAACTGACTGTTTTGGGATGATGATGTTCTAAAGTTGTAGTGCTGGCTTCATAATTCTGACTACACTGTGAATTTGATGAATTGTACACTTTCAATGTATAACATTTGAAATTATAAGGGAAATGCAAATAAAATACAAATCAATTCTATATCTTGATAAAACGTTTTTTAAAATATGCCTCTGAAATCATTACAATTTTGTGTTCTCTGAAACTCAAGAAATCTCTTCAAGCTAAAGAACATGCAGAGAAGACGGAAGCCCGACTGAGGGGACACTGAAACAATTATTACTCAAGCCTAGAAGGACTGCAGAATGTGCAAACCTGAAGGCTGGGTGAGGAGAGCGGCCCTGTGGTGCGCCGCAGGGGGGGCACGCCATCCCAGCTCCCCCACGGACAGAGCAAACGGGGTGGGCCACAGAGACAACACGCCGCTGCGAACTCGGAGCCCCGGAACCCGGGAGGGCAGAGCCGCAGGGGGGAGCCCCGCTGCTCGGGCGTTTCCGCGGGAACGCAGGGAAGGAGAGAGGAGCGGACACGAAACTTCCCAGTTACCAGCTCCGGCCCCTGGTGCTTAGAACACTCACTTTTACGAAGGAAGGATTCCATGCCATTTCAGGACGTGACCAAAATTAAAAAGGGAAACTATATCCAGCTTTGGAAATTCGTGTGGCCCCCCCCCCTCAGCCTCCGCCGCCGCGCTCCCCGACGCGCCCGCCACCTTCCGCGCTCCCTGCTTTCTGACCACCT